CAAATAGTTTCTAATATTAAATCCCTATTTTAAATGTGTTTCTTATTATGAGAATTTTATTGGTTTATCTGTTTATAGCCTGCCTTTTTCCTGCAAGGAACCCAAAGCAGCTTATATAATTGTCTCTCTCCTCCACATTTTATCCTGTAAGGTAGGTTAGGTTGAAAATCAGTGGCTGGCCCAAAGTTCAGGAATTCTCATTGGAAACTAGTACTTAGATATCCTAAGTCCCAGTCCAAAACTCTGACTACTACAAAACACTGCCTTTCAATATGTTGCCTGTTTTATTTTTTTGTGCTTTGACAGGCCTTGTTCTACTTCAGGGATAGGAAACCACTGGCCCATAGGAAAACTTGACACACCAGGCTGGACCACAAAGCCTCAGATGAAGCCCTTCCCAATGCTTCAACCCCTCCGAGGAGAACATTTGCTCCCTTATTGTTTTTGCCTTATGGTGGTTGCTACAAAACCGCAAGTCTGGTTCCTTGGTGAATTTGTGAGCCAGGAAAAATCTGAGTGGAGCAGAGTAGCCTCCCTGACTGAGGGACTGGCAGCAGGATTTCTAGCTGGAATTTTGGCTGAGGACTGAATAAGGTCAGGGACAGGCTCATTGTCGCTTGATGTCACCCATCTTATGGAAGGTGCAGAGTGGACGAGAGCAATTTTCCCTCCAGACCAAAATTAACTTGACCCACTCTTTCTATTATATATTCTTCCTGTATATCTTTCAACAGTCACCTTTTGTATTCTTGTTAGTATTTAAGAGGAGCTGTTCAGACAACAAGGAAGGATCTTTACATAAAGGTACAATATGAGCACCCTGTGAAGATACTGCTTTTTTTTTCTTGTATAGGTCATTAACGGGTACATTCCTGTTAGACTCAGAATGTCATCTTACTTCTTCTTGCCAGACTCTGTGAACAGAATGTATATCCTGTCTGTGCTTGTAGACACATTGGTAAAGGAAGTTCACACCACCGAAACTATAGGAAAAAATAATTCTTGGTGACTCTGTCATATAATTAGAAAAGCAAGGAAATTCCCAGTGTAGACAACTAATACCATGAGTCATCAGAGCTATGTAAAAGATGAAGCGCTTGGTGATCATTCTTGTCAATGAATACAGGTCAATATATGCACAGAAGGGCTCATACTTCTCTTAACATTGAACATATTTCTTGACCTCCTTTCATTATAGTTTGGTGGATTATGTTGAGGACCATCATAATATGTCAACACATCTCTAACCTTGCTTATTTTCTTAGAGAATTCAGTTTATTTTTAAGCTCCTATCTGGTATTTGCTTTATCATCTCCCTTTTTCAAAATTAATGACATTAAAGGTTATTGTGAGTGCTAGAATTGATGTGTACAGATTATTTCCACTTATAAGTAGCTACAATAATATTCAAGCCAAGCCACTTCCCAACTTTCTAGCATGTTGTCATATATTTAAAAGAAATGGGTGAAAATCATGCTTCCCTAGTGCGCACGTATTAACAGCCAAATGTATCAGCGTTTGTTCCCTTCCCAGATAGTCTGGTGGGCTGCAGATATTCTGAACTTCAGCATCCATCAGCCCCAGCCATCACAGCCAGTGTTCAGAAGTGCTGGGAACTATAGTCCACAAAATTTGAACAGCAGCAGGCTGAAAATGGCTGGAATAAGAGGTGCTGGGTTTCAGATTGGTAGAATTTTATGTGTGTTTTTGGGTTCATTTTGCTATATTTTTAAACCTCTAATAATTGGCAATGAAAGGAAAAATCTGTTTAGTTGTGTATGTATCTGTTTTGCTTATGTGTTAGGGAACTTAACTGATGCCTCAAATGTATTCCTTCTCATGTGAATTTACAGTTCATGCTTTTTGTAACCACCCACTCATGGTAGACTTGCATTCAATGGGAAATCTATTTATCTTTCAGCAAGGTAACTCCCAGGGTTTTTTAAATTATCTATCCTTGAGATGAAAGAACTTGTTAATATTTGTGAAGCCAAAACCTATTGTTTCAACATGTTCTCTATGTGGCATACAGAAGATGTATCTTAATCCAGTGTTTCTACATGTTCTTCTACAGCTTTGTCTTAATCTTAACCTTTCCTAGCTAACTGGAGATAAACATTGTCCTTGGTAATTTAACCCCAGGTTATGCAGCTAGGCTGTGATTTTTATTTCAGTGGGGGAAATTTGACTACCTTCTTAACTCTGTTCCTTGAAACAAGTGCAAAAAAGTGCTAAAATGCTTAATTTTGGCTGGAACACTCCCAGAAGGGAAAGTCCTAAGTGAAGGGAAATTTGAGGCTTATAACTTAAGAATTCTGGACTGTTATAGGAATAATCTTTATGGTTACTTTTTTGTGTTTTCCCAGAATTACTGTAGTTCTGTTAACAGGTATTTTTTTTTCACTTAAACATATTTCTAGGCAGCTTGCAAAATCCAAAACTATAAAATAATTCAAGCATAGAAATCAGAACAAATAATCACACAATTAAGATGCATATATTGTATAAAAGCAGATTGTTAAATCCAATATATTTTAAACACCAGGGCAATCCCAAAATGGTGTGTTTTGCATTGTTTCCAAAAACTGAAGGGATGTGTGTTTGACATACCATTTCCCAAGACCAAATGAAAACTGTCAGCTGATAAAGAATAGTAAGAATGTACTTATTCTTCTAAAATAAATTTATGAGGAATGCCGATGAAGATTTTTGCCAGCAGTATATATTTAAAACTGCTTTCCTAAGCATGATCTTAAACAAGCAATACACTGCCTGACATTTCTTGTGGTGCCATTCCTACGTCTAATAGCACATTTTGTAGTTCTAGCTGTCTTGTAAGCATGTACTTTCCCACTGAGTTATGGTCCCTCCTGTTTCCACATAAAAAGACTTCAATATTTGCCACACCTCTGAGTATTATTATTGGTTCTGAAATCTGTTACTGAAATCCTAACAACTGAAACGCCTTCTCTAGTAGCGAGGTGACAGTTATTATGAAGTGTAGTGATCTCTAATGAAATCAGTCAGAGAATTTTTGTACTGCTTATTTCAATTGTGTTCATCATGGTACACTTTTGTGTTTCAAAGTGAGATTGCATGTGGTTTATCTGAACACTCTGGGCAACTAGTTAATAAATTTCCACAATTAGACTGTTCCTGCTGTTTCTCCAAGTCCTCTAGTTAACGAAAACCATAGGAATTGGTTTCTTTTGTCTATCTAACTACTTGCAGAGCTCAGGAAATATATTGCATTGATGTCAAGCATTTTTTCCCTCCTGCAGTGCCAATTTCTATTTTGAAAAGCGACAGGAGATCATAGCAGAATTCTAGATCAGAAAGATTTCGACTTGAACCTTTGATTGGATAAATAACATAGAAACTGTTGCTAACCTTCCATTTTACCTTTTGTTGCACTAGTCTGAGAATATGCTTCTTGTAGTGGATACTGGCTCTTACATCTTGCTAAAGCACATGAACTATTTCCAGCACTATTTACACATGTGTGCCTTTCTCATACTTTTCAGGCTTTTAGAGCAAGAGCCAGGTTAAAAAGTGTGCTTAGGATCCTGCTGAATTGAAGTATTGGAGTGTCAGCTGCCACTGTTCTAAAGGCATATGGGTTTTGAATCGCTTTCAGTCCTTTTTCTGCTGGTTGTAAATTGTCCATATAACATTTTGGATAGTAAAATGGGAAGTGAATAGCAGATCTTTCAGGAAAAACATGCAGATTCAGGTAAATAAGTAAAGCCAAAGATGCTTCTTTTATTGTAGGGGTTTTGGTTTTTGGGTTTGTTTGTTTGGTTTGTTTTTTTTTTTTTTTTTTGGGCAGAATTTCTTTAGAGGTTTCTTCCAGTGTAATCAGGCAACAGAGAATACATAAACCTATGATAAGTGTTTATGTTTATGACTGTCACCAAGAGGAATTAGTTTCATTGTGTGACTGTACAATAACATTGTTATTATAGACTAAGCAGCACCTGTGTTTTGACCTCTAAAATAAGGCAAAATTGGTGGGGAATCTGTAAGGTGTGGTTGCCCTGAAATGCCTTTAAAATTATCCTCCTGTAACAATTGATGCTGAAAACCCAAAAATGGGTGGGACAAAGTATGTGGAAAAAAGTAATGATTCTGATGCAAGGAGAATACTGTTGTATTGTTCCTGGAATAGCTTGGGTAGGAGAAGGTGAAAGGGGGGGGGGGGTATCTTACCTCTGGAAACGTAAATTTCCTCCCTTTCCACTAAGAAGTAGAGTAAGCAGGAAAGGCAGAAACTTACCAAGTAAGTCCAGCTGGTAATTTGAGGGCCAGGGGTCTCATGCAGTTGGGGGGTGTTTTAAAGTTAGCACATTCTTACACTTGTGTCCACCGATTATGTGTATGGCAGGTGGAGGAAGTGCTGTTTGGATATTAGGTAAATCTTATTGCAGATGCCTTTTCCCACCCCCCTTAGTTTAATTATTTCTTTAAATATTATTATCTAAAGGTGCAAAATAGTGGCAATGCAATATCTGAAGTGGTGCCTCTTAGAACACTGTTCTTTAATAGTGGCGATAATATGAATTAACAAATAAAACACACTGAGTATCAATAGCAGTAGTTACAAATTCTCTTTTACATCTGTTTCATTGAAGGCTATACTACAAACTGACTTCATTTATCTGTGAAGAAATAACGAACGGTAGCAAATTAATGAGGTTTTTAGACCTCAGTTCTTCTTCAACTGTGTTTGCAGATGGCATAGAAAGAACTCAGTGGCCTTAACAATAAAAGTTTGCTGTTTTGATTTTATATTTTTCTAGAGGAAATGTCAGCCTATCGTGTGCATATCTAGCATTGTTGGCTATAATAGCCAAACATATTGGAAAGCAAGAAAATAGGAAACATATACTTGAATCAAATAATATTGTAAGCAAATGCAGGAATAGCTATGTAAATTTGCTCCTAAAATCTCGGGCAGAGTGCAACAATATACACCAGGGCTATGAGGTCTATGAACAAAGAGGGTAGATGGCTAGAATTCATTTGGAGAAGAGTACAAAATGAATCCGACCGAATACAGCTTAGTGCACGTTATTGTGTCTATTCCATGGTGGTGAAGGTCCAAGGAAATGCTTTCTTACTACCAACATTGCATTCCCACAGTGTTGCCCAGCAGAGCTTTCCATGTGGTACAGAGCCTTTTACACTCTGACTCAAAAGAATACCCAATCAAACCCCTTGAGCCCCACTGTGTGGAATTTGCATGGCACTCTGAGGATAAAATCACTTGGATACTTAGCAAGTTGGACACCACAGTTATCCCAGTTTCATCAGTGGAGGCATCCAGTGTACCACCTGATTCCATCCTACTGGATGAGTTTCAGCTATTGAAGCCTGAAGATAGGAATGCTTGGAGCTACCCAGCTGCAACCCATTCGATCACCTTGCCCAAGAAGGAAATTTTGGCTATGGGGTCTATAGCTATTTACATCAGCTGGGCCCAGATTAGGTTTTTTCAGGAGTGTTGCAATCACAGCTGCTGGCACCAAAGAGACATTGACAACCTCCTGAAAAAACCTAATCTGGGCCCAGCTGATGTAAATAGCTATAGACCCCATAGCCAAAATTTCCTTCTTGGGCAAGGTGATCGAATGGGTTGCAGCTGGGTAGCTCCAAGCATTCCTGGAAGAAACAGATTATCTACAGTAGATCCATTTCAGTTGGGCATCATGCCTGGTTTTGGAAAGGAAACCACCTTGGTTGCCCTGTGGAATGACCTCTGCTGGGATCTACATAGGGCCACCTTTGAAAACAGCCTGGACGCTGCACCTAGTTCAGAACATGGCCACACAGCTATTGACGAGGACTGGTTTTCATGAACATATCATTCTGGTCCTTCACAAGCTGCATTGCCTGCCAGTTGCCATCCAGGCTTGATTCAGAGTGCTGGCTTATATAAAAACATATAAAGCCCTAAATGGTTATCTGAGGGAATGCCTGTCTCTGTATGTTCTCACTCAATCACTAAGGTCTTCACTGGAGACTCTTCTGCATGTGCCTCCCACTAAAGAGGTGAGGGGGGGGGGGAGATTACTAGGAGAGCCTTCTCTGTGGTGGCACCCCACCTTAGGAATTCACCCCCTATTGAAATCCACCAGGTGACATCTTTCTTTTTGTTGCCAATAGAAAATTTTCTTATTCCAGAGTTATTTTGGTGATTAATTTGATTTTAATAACAGATCTTGATTTTGATGTTTTGCCTTTTGTGAATTGAACAACCAGATCAGATTGCTTTTATAAATTGATCTTTTAAAATTATTTTTCTATTGTTTATTTATGATTTTGTTGTCTGGTTTTATCCTATTGTTTTACTGATTTAACCTGAGTAGTATTTTAACTAATTTTATTGTTGTGCCTCTGACTATGAGGAATTTCGAAGAATTTCCAAGAAAGTGAATGATAGCTGCAAATTTGGGCTGGGTGTGAAAGTTGGTCTATTTCCCCTTTTCTCATACTTCCTTCTACTGTAAGGCAATTGATGAACTCTGTTTGCTTCCAGGTGGCAGGAAACTTTTGAAATGCTAAATATTCTGTTTCAAGAGCTGGTGTTTCAACAGTGTACATAGCTTAAATTTGCTGGCTGTACATTTATGTTTCAGTCATGTACTGTGCCCAGGTGTAGCACTCCATTTATCAGGATGTGAGTTTTGGGTTTCTGCCGTCTTTCCAGTATTTTCAAAGCAAAGAATTAAAGTTGTATGCATCTTTTTCCTCTCATCTTCTGAAAATAAGTACAGGAGTCAGACTCTTTCTGAAAAAAGAAATGTAGATTTGTGAGCTGAATTTTTATATAAAATGTCATTCTGTAAACTCAGTGTTCAGTAGAGTGGTACAGTAAACTACAAACTTCATTTTGCTTTTGCAGATAGTGTAATGATAGCAATAATAGTAGGAAACAGAACATGATGTTCAGGTTGTGGGTTCAAATGCTGTAAAGCCAACATCAGGATGATTATCACATCTGCATCAACACCTCGGTGGCATTTTCCAGTTTTTCCAATCTTGATTCTTAACTGTTCTTTCTAGGGGACAACCTGCATACAGTACACAAAGCTCCAGTGGTCATTTTTGAAAGCACAGTTGCAGGGCTTTAGAAAATGGAGTCAGTACTGCTTAACCTTTGTTTTTCTACCTTCTTTTTGTTCTGCCTATCTTATTTGGTTGTGACTCCCTCCTTACTTTTGTAAACCAAAGGAGGAGGAGAGTTGCCACAAAAAAATAGCAAGGAGAATGGCCCTTATTCAGCACCTTCCCTTCCCTCTGCCACTTCACCATGCGAATTTGCATCCTTCCAGAGATGTTTTTCTTTTCTAAAATTGCCCATCAGGGCTTCATTACATGTATTTGCACATAACGTGTAATTAGCCTATCCTAGCCTTCCCTAAGCTAGTGTCTTCTAGATGTGTTGGATTACAGCTCTCATCATCCCCAATTCCATATAGGTGGGGCTGACAGGAGTTGTAATCTATTACATAATTCCTGAAGGCAATAGGAAGGGCTAAGACTGGCCTATCCTAGTACACGCAACTGTCCTTTGTGTTCATTCCTGTACATCTTGCATGTGATTATTTCCCTGAAAGGTGTGTTTATTGGTTAGCATTCTTTTAGGCAAGAACAGGCAAAGGGAGCACATTCTTCCCATCAGTCTAGATTGCAGAAGTCATTATGGTAAACTCTGTGGTATACCTCTCCTGTCTCCAGCTGGCCCTGCTAATTTTACATAGTTCACTGGCATGCTGTACATGATCCAGCAGACTAGCATTTACTGGTGGTTTCTGGTCCAGTGAGTAATGAGTTGGGCTTATTTTATGAACTTGATTTTCATTTTCTGTTCTTTTGATCTCATCAGTAGTTCATTCTCTTTCATTATAGTCTCCAATGTTTCATGTTCACTTTCAAAAGTATGTTATGCCACATAAATCATAGTGACATTGAAAATGTCCAGTGCTTCTTCATGGTAATGATTAAAATGAAAGTGATAATAGCCTATATAGACATCTCTAAATGGTAGGGTCCACATGTGTTTGTTTATAGAAAATAAAGCACTTCTGTTTAGTTTAAATGAGGGACCCAATCTCAAAGGTTTGGTTTGGTTTGGTTTGGTTTGGTTTGGTTTGGTTTGGTTTGGTTTGGTTGGGTAGAATTCTTCACTTTTGATTTATAAATGACTGAATGCTTTGGGCCCAGCATTTCTGGGTAGTGTCCTTCTTTTCACAGCTGATATGGTAATGAAGAGCACCCATCTTCTTATACTTCTTATACTATACTATGCTGCCATGTCCGTACAGCAAGGATACAGTTGCCCTGTATTTATGAAGAGAATGCAGTGGATGCATTAAATGCCTCCTTATACAACAGTCTGTTCATGTGTGGTGGTTTGCTGGATGAATCAAGACTATTGTCTCCTAATACACACATTGGTATTATTAACTGCAGTTACACATAATATGTGAATTCACCAAGAGCAACATTCTGGTTTCTGACTGCAAAATATGGCATTCAGCTGTATTGCTGATGCTTTGGCAAGCACTAAGACTGTCTTCAGCCATTGTAATTGTCAGCAGATTTAATCAATCCTTATTCCTCTAGAGTGGCAGGTTGGAAGAAGGAAAGCCTGTTGTTTATACAGCTTTCACCTACACAATAGTTCACCTGACACAGAATTAGCATACGAGGGAAACTTGTGTGGTGTTTAATGTGATCCTAGGATACATGCCATCATATTTGTACAACGGAGCTGTGCTGTCAGCATAGAATTTTGGCTTATGTTGTTTCACTTGGTAAGCTGCTTTTGTTGCACTGGGGTAGATATGACCCAATCTCGGCATTAAAGTGCTGATGGAAGAAGTCCTAGGATAAAGCTGTAAAATGCTCCAACCCAAGTTTCCATGCATGGATGCATCCAGCTAAGCTTCCTGGATCTCTGTGTAGGTACTTTATTAGAAGACTGTTGGACTCATTCCGGCCTCTGTGGAAGCCACTTCAGAATGTATTGTCTCTCTTTTCTCTCTCCTCACTTTCTGTGACTCTTCTCAAGTGCTGCATCCCTTCTCCTTCATCTCAGATGAACAGAAAATATTGAGCTTTCAAAAACTATCTAGTGCAACAGGAGATCTTGTAGTCAAAAATTCCCAGGACTTCCCAGCACACTCTTTGCCCTTGTAGAGGGAAAGCCTGGGACATAAGTCTGAAACTTGTCTTTAAAAGTGCTGCCAGCTGTGCAAAACAACAACAACAACAACTCTTAGCTGTGTGGTTTCCTGAGCACTTAGTGTCACATTTGATCAAGGATGCATGCACAGTTAACTATGCATGCACAGTTAACAACACACTAGCGTAACAACCTCTTAGGCCACAGGTCTCTGGTATGCTCAAGGAATAATTAGATTAGATACATCCTTGAAGGGTAAGTCTGCTACTGATAGCAGTAATGATGGCCAGGTTCAGAGATGGCGGTTCTGAATGCCAGTTGCTAAGAACTCCAGGAAAGGGTTTCCTTTCATGTCTTGCTTGTGGGCTTCCCAGAGGCAGCAGTTTGGCCACCATAGGATACAGGATGTTGACATTTTGGTCCAATTCAACAGAATTCTTACATTCTTCTGTTGCTTTACAAGGAGTCACATTGATATTTAAAGAAGATGCCAGGTGCATGGATATGTTTTTCTGAGCATTATGTGTAAATCAGACCTCCTGCTCTCACCCTGGATAGGATGACCCAGGTTCAAGTCCCTACTTGGTCATGAAGCTCACTGGGTCACTTTGGACCTGCCACTCACTCCTGGCCTAATCTACCTCATGGGGTTCTTAGGAGCTTAAAATGGGGAGAAGAATCATGTAAGCTACCTTGTGTTCTTTGCCGGAAAAAGATGGGATAGAAAATAAGTAAATATATACAAAGGAAAATTGGTTGTCATTATTCAGAATATTATGGCTTCAATCCAAAATATAAATACAATTCTAAATATAAATGAA